GCCCAGGAGGGGCGCGACAGAGCCCAGGAGGGGCGCTACGGGGCCTGGGCGGAGCGCGACGAGGCCCAGGAGGGGCGCTAGGGGGCCTGGGAGGAGCGCGACGGGGCCTGGGAGGGGCGCGACGGGGCCTGGGAGGGTCGTTACAGGGCCTAGGAGGGGCGCTACGAAGCCCAGGAGGGGCGCGACGAGGCCCAGGAGGGGCGCTACGGGGCCCAGGAGGGGCGCGACGGGGCGCTACGGGGCCTGGGAGGAGCGCGACGGGGCCCAGGAGGGGCGCTAGGGGGCCGGGGAGGAGCGCGACGGGGCCTGGGAGGGGCGCGACGGGGCCTGGGAGGGGCGTTACAGGGCCCACGAGGGGCGCTACGAAGCCCAGGAGGGGCGCGACGAGGCCCAGGAGGGGCGCTACGGGGCCCAGGAGGGGCGCGACGGGGCGCTACGGGGCCTGGGAGGAGCGCGACGGGGCCCAGGAGGGGCGCTAGGGGGCCGGGGAGGAGCGCGACGGGGCCTGGGAGGGGCGCGACGGGGCCTGGGAGGGGCGTTACAGGGCCCACGAGGGGCGCTACGATGTCAAACATGTGTAGTTATCATGTTTGTATAGACTGTATAGGGTCACCTTCTAGAGAGTACAACATTTAGGTATATGTCTGTGTACTCTCTCTCATACATTATTCAATTCTAGGTTTAATATGGTATCACGAGTAGGTTTCGACCCCCTCCTCCCGTCGCGTCTCCTAGCCTCGCCTCGCCCCTCCTGAGCCCAGTCGCGACCCCTCCCCCTAGCCCCGTCGCGCCCCTTCTAGGGCCTCGTAGCGCCCCTCCAGGCCCCGTCGCGCCCCCCCCTTCCAGGGCTTCGTAACGCCCCTCCAGGCCTCGTCGCGCCCCTCCTGGGCCCCGTAGCGCCCCTCCAGGGCCCCGTCGCGCCCCTTCGCGCCCCTCCTGGGCCCCGTAGCGCCCCTCCAGGGCCCCGTCGCGCCCCTTAGCGCCCCTCCTGGGCCCCGTCGCGCTCCTCACAGGCCCCGTAGCGCCCCGTAGCGCCCCTCCTGGGCTTCGTAGCGCCCCTTCTGGGCTTCGTAACGCCCCACCCAGGCCCCGTCGCGCCCCTCCTAGGCCCGTAGTGCCCCTCCTGGGCCCGTAGCGCCCCTCCTGGGCCCCCCATTGCGCCCCTCCTGGGCCCCGCCGCGCCCCTCCTGGGCCCCATTGCGCCCCTCCTGGACCCGTAGCGCCCCTCCTGGGCCTGTTGCGCCCCTCCTGGGCCCTGCCGCGCTCCTCCCTGGGCCCCGTATCCACCCTCCTGGGCCCCGTCGCCCCTGCTCGGCCCCGTCGCCCCTGCTCGGCCCCGTCGCCCCAGCTCGGCCCTGTCGCGGCCTCTCGGCCCCGTGGCGCCCGCCCTGCCCCTGTCGCAGCTGCCCGGCCCCTGTCGCACCTGCCCGGCCCCGTCGCGCCCGCCCGGCCCTGCTGTGTCCTGCCCGGCCCCGTCGCTGCCGCCCGGCCCTGTCGCTGCCGCCCGGCCTCGTAGCTGCCGCCCGGCCCTGTCGCTGCCGCCCGGCCTCGTAGCTGCCGCCCGGCCTTGTCGCTCCCGCCCGGCCCCGTCGCAGCCGCCCTGCCCCGTCGCAGCCGCCCGGCCCCGTCGCAGCCGCCCGGCCTCGTAACTGCCGCCCGGCCTTGTCGCTGCCGCCCGGCCCCGTCGCAGCCGCCCGGCCCCGTCGCAGCCGCCTGGCCCCGTCGCGCCTGCCCGGCCCCGTCGCGCCTGCCCGGCCTCGACGTGCCTGCCCGGCCCCGTCGCGCCTGCCCGGCCCCGTCGCGCCTGCCCCGGCCCTCCATACTTCCTGGTACTGTCCCCCGTTCCCCGCACCACTTTGCACCCTCCTGCACTTTCCTGCCCCGCCTTGCCTACGCCTCCGCTCTAGTCTCTGACCCTGCCTGTCCTCCGTCTGTCGGGGGTGCTCCTGCCCTCGGCAGTGATGTCCTGGAGGACCGCCAGTTTGAGCTTGCTTTCCTGTCCGAGGCTGCTCCCCATCTCTGTTCCATGCTGCTAGTCCCTGAGGGTGACCCAGACGCTTTTGACATCCCGACCCCTCGTACTTACGCTGAGGCGGTTTCGGGACCTTGGGCCTCTCAGTGGATAGCTGCCATGGAGCAGGAGATGGCATCTTGGAGATCCACCGGCACCTTCGTCGACGCAGTTCCCCCACCTGGGGTGAACGTGGTCGATGGCCGTTGGCTCTTCAAGGTGAAGCGCCCTCCTGGAGAGCCGCCTGTGTTCAAGGCGCGTTACGTGGCTAGAGGCTTCAGTCAGCGCGAGGGGGTGGACTTCTTTCAGACTTTCGCTCCTACCCCGAAGATGACTACTCTTCGGGTTCTGCTACACGTAGCGGCTCAGCGTGACTACGAGCTTCACTCCCTCGACTTCTCCACTGCCTTTCTTCAGGGAAGCCTTCACGAGCAGGTCTACCTGCGTCGTCCTCAGGGCTTTACTGGCACCTTCCCCCCTGGGACCCAGTGGCTTCTGCGGCGCCCAGTCTATGGCCTGCGCCAGGCGCCTCGTGAGTGGCACGACACGCTGCGTGCTACTCTTGCTGACCTGCAGTTCTTTCCGTCCTCTGCAGACCCCTCGCTCTTCGTTCGTGCTGGCTCGACTCCGTTCTACATCCTCGTCTACGTAGACGACCTGGTCTTTGCCACAGCTGACAGGGACGCACTGGCCTCCGTGAAGGCAGAGCTGCTGAAGAGACACACCTGCACTGACCTTGGAGAGCTGCGCCGTTACCTTGGCTTGCAGATCTCCAGGGACAGAGCCGCCCGCACCATCACCCTGACTCAGTCACACTTGGTGCGTCAGGTCCTTCAGAGGTTCGGCCTTCAGTTCTCCTCCGCACAGCCCACCCCTCTTCCTCTGGACCACAGACTCTCCGCTCCAGTTCCTGAGGAGTCGGTAGATCCCAGTGGTCCTTACGCTGAGCTAGTGGGTTGCCTCATGTACCTGATGATTTGCACTCGCCCAGATCTCGCATACCCTCTCAGCATCCTGGCTCGTTTTGTGGCCACAGGCAGACACCGACCTCAGCACTGGTCTGCCGCTAAGAGGGTTTTGCGTTATCTTGCAAGTACATCGGGCATGGGGTTAGTGCTAGGCGGACGCAGGCCAATGGTCCTTACTGGACACACAGACGCTTCTTGGGCAGACGACGCCGAGACGCTCAGGTCTTCCCAGGGCTACTGCTTTAGCCTTGGCTCAGGTGTGTCTCGTGGAGAGCTACCCGCTCCTCGTCGGTTGCCCAGTCCAGCTGTGAGGCTGAGATCTACGCCGGTGCCATGGCGGCACAGGAGCTCCGCTGGCTGACCTTCTTGCTCACTGACTTAGGTGAGCGGCCTAGCTCTGCCCCGGTCCTGTACGCTGACAATAGGGCCATGATACTCCTGTGTCAGGAGCCTCGACTCGAGGGCAGAGCGAAGCACATCCAGCTGCGGTACTTCCTCCTGCGCGAGCTACAGCAGCGGCGCCAGGCTCGCATAGTACACTTGGCCTCCGGTGCCAACACAGCTGATATCTTTACGAAGGCGCTTGCGCCTAAAGATCATCAGCGGCACTGTTTACAGCTTGGTCTGGTTCCTGTAGTCTCTCACTTACTCGGGCCTTGACTTTGTACTGTCGTATATATATACATGTATACACTCAGACTAGACTTGTGTCCTCTCACAGTGGTTGGACTAGTAGTGCCGCCCTGTACTCGTTCTTGCCTTGTCTGTACTCCTTCTGACTGGTCTTTTAGACCCTTGTCTCAGAGGCTGGACTAGTAGTGCCACCCTGAGCTACTTGTCTAGAACATTCCCCTATGCAGTCCAGGGGGTGTGTCAAACATGTGTAGTTATCATGTTTGTATAGACTGTATATGGTCACCTTCTAGAGAGTACAACATTTAGGTATATGTCTGTGTACTCTCTCTCATACATTATTCAATTCTATGTTTAATATACGAAGCCCAGGAGGGGCGCGACGAGGCCCAGGAGGGGCGCTACGGGGCTCAGGAGGGGCGCGACGGGGCGCTACGGGGCCTGGGAGGAGCGCGACGGGGCCCAGGAGGGGCGCTAGGGGGCCTGGGAGGAGCGCGACGGGGCCTGGGAGGGGCGCGACGGGGCCTGGGAGGGGCGTTACAGGGCCCAGGAGGGGCGCTACGAAGCCCAGGAGGGGCGCGACGAGGCCCAGGAGGGGCGCTACGGGGCCCAGGAGGGGCGCGACGGGGCGCTACGGGGCCTGGGAGGAGGGCGACGGGGCCCAGGAGGGGCGCTAGGGGGCCTGGGAGGAGCGCGACGGGGCCTGGGAGGGGCGCTAGGGGGCCTGGGAGGGGCGTTACGGGGCCCAGGAGGGGCGCTAGGGGGCATGAGCGGAAGCGGTAGGTGGGGGGGATCCTACCTACGCGTGATACCATATCAAAATTGGAATTGAATTGATTGGTAAAGCGAGAGTACACACAAATATACCTAAGTGTTGTACCCTCTAAGAGGTAACCCTATACAGTCTATACAAACATGACAAATACAGATATTTGACACTATAGACAAAGACGCACTGGCCGCCGTAAAGGCCGAGCTGCCGAGAAGACACACCTGTACTGACCTAGGAGAGCTGCGCTGCTACCTTGGCTTGCAGATCTCCAGGGACAGAGCAGCGCGCATCATCACTCTCTCACAGTCATACTTGGTGCGCGAGGTCCTTCAGAGGTTCGGCCTTCAGTTCTCTTCCGCACAGCCCACCCTCTGCCAGTAGACCAAAGACTCTCTGCCCCAATCCCAGAGGAGGCGATAGAGCCAAGTGGTCCCTACGCAGAGCTGGTGGGTTGCCTCATGTAACCGATGGCAAACCTCGCCACCACTGCTAGGTACTAGTCACAGCTTTGGTTGGCATTTCTAATGTTCGACATCTGATTACATGTTGGTTTTGTATTTCGTATGCTCCGCAGTTTTGGGTTGGTCTGTACGCACAGCCATAACGTGAACTCCTAATCGGTGTTCAGCTCTGACGTACAGCGCCTCAAACAACCATGCTACAACTCAAAATGAACGAACCCTTCTTTCGGTTAGAAAATCCCAGGTATATCCTGCGCTCATTACTCTGGTACTGTAGTACGCAAGCAGGCGTTTCCTTCCCCCAAAAAACGATGTAGTTATAGCAACCCTAGACTAGGCAATAGTACTACATGTCTCATCGACAAGAGTATGAACATGACGTGGAAATGGCAGGCCCTCATCTGCCGTTGCAAGAGAACGAGAATCAGTTAAGAAGCAAGGCGCACCCCCCCAGCGTCCGCGCTTATTCCAGCAGCCACGAAGGCCGCCGCGCCACCAGCCACTGAGAATTGGGCGCAGCACTCCGCGCCGTGCCTCGCGTGCCAGTCGTGCAGCTGGCACGAGCGGCTGCAGTAGCGCGCGCTCCAGCACGTGGAGCACCGCCAAAACTCCAGCGCGCGCTTCTCTGGCCGCCCGCACGACTCGCGGTTGCACACACCGAGGGTAGCCTCGCCCATGGCGTCCAGACCAAGCGCCGCCATGTCCTTCGCACTGCCAAGGTCGCTGCACGCGGCGCTCTTACCGCACTCCTTGGCGGCCCTGACGGCGAACCAATCCTTGACGAACACGTGCGCGGGGTGCGCGGCGGAGGGGAGCAGCGACGTCTGCACGCTCGAGAGAATCGGCTGCAGCTTAGCGATAGACTCCGCAGTAAGCTTGAAGCTGCCGGCCTTGAGAGCCGCGAGTAGCTTAAGCATGACGGCCGTCTTGCCCTCGAGATGCTGCGACTGTGAGTCCTGCAACTCCTGCGACGGCATACGCGCTTGACGACGCGCCTGGCGAACTTGTCGCGCAGGCCTGGCAAACTTCGTCGCCTCGAGGGGACTAGTCCAAGCAGCCGCGGCTGGGGCGGCGGCCTTCTTCGGCGCGAGCGTCACGGACGGTCCGCAGGCCGAGGCGTCGACGCGAAAAACGGAAGGAGGCTTAAAGTTGGCCCCTCCTCCGGGTGAAACGGGCATGCCATGCTTGGTGAACGCGCCCTTGGACTCCACGCCCAACAGCGCCTGTACCGCCGCCTCCTGCTCTGCGCAACCCACGGCGGCGACATTCCCGAAGGAGTCGAGGCTGCGGGGCCTCTTGGCAGCGACGCTGCTATCGACGTCACTCTTTCGCTTGGCGGAAGCGATGAGGGACGCGAGGGCCGACAGGTGCGGGGAGTTAATCGGTGAGAGCTCCGCTGCTTGCGCCTCAAGAAGCATCCTCCAGCCTTCCTGGACGTCTTGGCGCACTCCGTAGCCGTCCAGGAGGCAGTGGCCTAGCTCGCGCATGGCTTCCGTGTGCCCGAGAGCCGCCGCTCTCGCACATAACGCCACGCCGACTTTCACGTCCTTGTGCTGCTGCCCCAGGCCGCTGCCGTTGAAACTGAGGATGCTCGCCGCATGCAGCGAGGCCGCGTGGCCCTGCCGAGCCGAGTGCATAAGAAGCCGCCCGCCTTCGAATTGCGCCTCAGGGATGCAGTAGAAGAGGATCTGTTGGAACGGAACGGATAGAAGGGCACGGGCGAGGGTAGGAGACGCAGAAGTGAGCGAGGGAGGGACGACGGAAGGGAGCGAAAGAGCGTGCGAGGGGGGAATGGAAGGAGAAAGTTACTAAGACGGAGACGGCGAAGAGTTACACACGGGTGAAGGCGCATGCACGAAGAGAAACGAAGGGCGAGGCGCACTCACCATGGCGAGCATGAAGCAGGCTTCCAGACAGCCGTTTTCGCTCAACCGGCGGAGAAAGATGAAAGCGCCGATGCTCCACTGCCTCGCTCGCACCGCCACGCCCCCCCTCGACGTGGAGCACAACACATCCCTGTCCTGACTCGCTCGCTTCCACCGCCGACACCTGCAGGCGAAAATATATTTATTAAAAAACGAGGGAACACATTAAATATACGGCAACGGAAAAGAAACGTTTTCAGATTAGATAAGGACGACGGGACTTACGTCATGGAGGGCGAAACAACTTCGGCGGGGTTCTCGGCAGTGGAGCTGACAGCAGCAAGAACCTTCACCAGGACCTCCTCCTGCGACCACAGTCACCAACGGACGTTAGGAGAGCTGACACACTTAAGGCAACGCAGCTAAAACCAAGAAAATGCGCGAGTCCATGTTCTGCGTCGACGGAAACAGAACGTACCGGAAGGCTATCTATCGTCGTGCGTTTCCGACAAGGCCCATCCGCTTGGTTTGATAGCGAAGCGTCGTCCAACGAGCACGCCGCGGAGTTGACAACCCTGTCAGCGTCATGGCGGCTAGGGCTGGAAACTCGAGCGAGCTCGGACGGAGTAGCTTCTGGTGAAGCCTCACTATCTACTGCATCTTTAGTATCTCCTGGACTCGCGAACGTGGAGGTAGACGCCCCCATGGGGTTAGACCTTCTGACGACACTCAAAACTGAAAGGTGCTGTCACTTGCCTAAGTTCCTGTGAAGTGAGCTTTGGCAACAACACAGTATCACCCTGGAATGCCTGTTCAATGCTTGAGGTACTGTCAGGCAGAACGAGGGTTTGGCTTTGGTACCCTGTACTAAAATGTACAGCAGCCAAAAGGTCGTGTGGAAGGAGACGGACCGAGGTGGCTTCGCAGGGAGGGCAAAAAGAGTTGGGTCTTGGGGGTTTGTTTTGCGCAGCGCGGCGGAAGGATGGATGGGATGTGGATGTGGGATTGTGTGGACATGGAAGGTAGGCGGAGGGATGCGTTGAGGGGACGCGGTGATTGGGGAAATGTTTGCGGGCTCGTTGGGGGGACCGGGGAAACCACCTCCGTTCAGCCTTTGAGAGGGTGTCCGATCCGAACCGAAGTAGCCTGTTGACGCCCGCTAAGCTTAGCGGACATCAACTCGCCCCCAAACCCTCGACGTCCGATGTGGACGTCAATCCAGCACTGCACACCACTCCGGACCGGACATGTACACTCCTGGTTTACGCTGCCCAAGCCAAAATGTTCCGCAAATTTTCCGGAAACCATGCCACCTACCGAAAACAGTTGCAAACAGAAAAGTAACCAGGTACTCCTGAACAGTAGTTCGCAAAATTCGAAAACACAAAAAGGGTGTAGGAGGCATGTGAAACCACGTCAGCACAAATCGAGCAACCCAAACCAGCGGCACCAAGTACAGCACAGTACCACGGTTTGAGTTTCGCAAAATTCGCTCGGTCGGTTGGGTTCACTTTTTTTTTTTTGCGTTTTGAAACTGCCCCAGAAAAGCCAGAGATATATGGTGTGACGTCAATCTCCACAACAAGGTTTCGGGAGCCGTGCTTCGGACATCCCAGAACCCAGCACTCTAGCGCGTACAGTGTGGTAACCCGTTTTTTTCCTGCAGTGACCTCCCAGCCATGCTACTTCGGTTCGGACCTTCTCTCAGACAAAACGTAACTGGCGCGCTCTGCCAGACTGCCGCCTCATTGCACATCGGCAACTTCTGTGGCTCATGCCCAAAAGATATGGTTGGGCAGGGCGAAAACATTATGTCGGGCACGACCTGGCGCGCTGTCTCACCAACTGCCTATGGTAGGCCTGGAAACTGCTGGCTGTTCGTCAATCCTTCTCCCCCATCTCGTCATTGCCACCGATTGCGTGATGCGCCATAAGGGCCGAATCGGCCACGAAACGTGCTTTTGGAGGGAATTGCGTCATTCGCTTATGAATCCACGTTTCCGAGTGGAGAATGGCCCACACCGCTTGAACTGAACGACAAAATGAGACCGACGGCAACAGAAAATCCTCGCTGTCAGGCACCTTTACATGCCACCACCACCACAGTGAGTCGCTGACACCAACAGAACCTGCGAAGGCACCTGCGAATTATTGTTGCGTCGATGGAGTGCATGTGTGCAGCACACAGACTGATCACGAAAAGCTCCTGAGTTCCTAGCTGCGACTCGTTGCGGCTGACATGACGTTGGGACTTCTGCATGACAACCTGACTGACGAATGGCGTGGTATCAATCTGATGAGTCAGCTAATTACACAACCTTTTTCGCAAGCGGGAATTGTGGAAGGCAAATGGTCCCGGCATGTGGAGCTGTGCTGGTCTTGCCCCAATTCATAGACATGTTATGTAAACGGGGTGTTACGCAATTACAAATGAACTGTAGTTGAACATTTACTGTGATTCTCACCTATCGCTAACAAACGTTGTGTTACTTGTTATATGCTTAACGTAGTATTGAAAACAATTACCAAAATATAGCAGCTCCTCTGCTTTAGTCGTGGCCCATGGGAAATCATAGCTTACTCAGTCTGAACAGTATTACGCAATTGCGTGATACGCAATGTCAAGGTGGAGCGAAAATCTAATAGAATGTAATCGGCGAAAGATCGAGCAAGTCAGTGAACAAAGCGCGAAACTGTAGGTTACGTGACAGGAAGGTGTCAAATTATATATTTCATATATATAATTGAGTAGGCTTTGTAGGTGTGCTACAATTACTGGATCCTATTACAGAGGTTACAACCTTCCCTTCTTGTACCCCTCTCCTATAGTCCAACCCTCTTTTCTCTCGTAACTTCTCCCTAGCTAAAACCTCTCGCCCTCTCATGGCTACCTACCTAGCGCCAAATCTCCTTTTAACATGGTTTCAGAGCAGGCTGATCCTGATGAGCCTTGTCATCACGCTTCCGCATCGTCCTCTCGCCTCTCCCGTCACTTACGCGCCGCCGTGGCGGCCACGTCGTGCTGCCACGGCGGCATTTATGCGCTGCTGTGGCAGCCCCCACGCGCTACCGTGGCATCAACGCCACGTCGTGGTGGCGTCGTCGTGCTGCTGTGGCGGCGTCGACGCCCCAGCGCACGGGCGACAGCGGGCCGCCCACCGCTGTAGGCACCAGCCATGACGCCCTCACGCCAGTCAGTGCGCCAGTCACGGTCGCCTTGCTGAAGCACACCCCCGCCCCCCCCTGCGTCTCCCTTTACTCCAGCCGTAGCTGCTGACTCTATACCCGGTCGTCGAAGGGCCGTGCCACGCCGTCGGGTGCTGCGAGCTTCGCAGTCGTCGCCGCCGTCGTCGAAGCCGCCGCCGCCACCGCCGCCGCCACTGTCGTCGTCGTAGAAACCGCCACTGACGCCGTTGCTGTCACCTGCCGCTGCTGTCACCGCTTCACACGAGGGGTAGAAGCCACCCGTGCTGCAGGACATGGGGTTGCACGGGCTTGGGGGTGTTGTGTGTTCGGTGGGCTTGCGACTACCAAGCCTAGGGGGTCTGTCAAATTATATATATATTATATATATATATAATTGAGTAGGCTTGGTAGGTGTGCTACAACTATTGAATCCTACTATAGAGGGTACAACCCCCCCTTCTTGTACCCCTCTCTGTTCGAGTCCAACCCTCTTTTCTCTCGTAACTTCTCCCTAGCTAAAACCTCTCGCCCTCTCATGGCTACCTAGCGCCTAATCTCCTTTTAATAGAAGGGCGGATACATCGTCCAAATTTTTAGGGTCTTGGAGGCCCTCAACCGCATTACGCCACACTGCACTTCCCTGCTGTCTAACCAGGCCTAATTTTTCTAAGGTAATTACCCGAATTTTCTCATTTTCCAGAGTTTCTCTGGGGTCCATTGCAGACTTTTTTTTCGAAAGATTGAGTAACGAGGAAAAAAATAATGAGGGAACATCACAACAATAGGGAGCATGGATATAGCTAGCCTAGATCACACGGTCGTGGCTCAGCAGAGCTGCGACGTGTGGTTCGTAAATTAGCCCGAAGCGCCCAGATCTAGGCATGAAACAAGCAGGCGGACAAAATGCATGTGGCTCGTCAGGAGGCCACATTTGGGTACCGCGATTTGAATTTCGTGGCAGAGCTGCGCGGCAACCCAGTTATAGCAATGTACGCCTTACTAACTAAAACCAGTGATAAGGAAATACCATTTCTTCATACCCTCCCCACTCGAAGGTATGGTCTTAGGGCCGCGCACATTGCGTGACTGGAGGTAGTCTCGTAAAACTGGGTGGATCTTGATATGTGCCAAGGGCTCCCAATTGACTTCCAAGGCCGTTCGGTCTTTCTAGGATATATGAAATTCAATCAGGCCAGCCCCTCGAGGGTCCTTGATCCAATGGCTGAGAATCTTCGCAGGTTCGACAGTAGGCTCGGCGAGCAGTCGGATGTTCGGGCTCACTCGGTGACGTGATAAATTACTGGTGCTGGCAATTTATGGTTGAAGTAACCGCATGCGGAATGATGGACTGGCATTCCAGGTGACCGATACAAAATTTTGGGCTATAATGCAAGATATCATGCGGCTGATGGTAAACGGTCTACAGCACCGAGGGCGAAGTTTTGGGACGATGGGTAGTCGAAGTTTCAGGGTGTCGCGCAGTACTAAATCTCCAGCCTGGTAAGTTACTGCTCGTCGGTGTAGAGCGGCGTTGTGCTTGGAAATAACATTCGCGCGCTTAATGGCTTCGGCTGCTCGCTCCCAGGCATTTTGTAATATTTCACCAAACTGTTGGGCTCGAGGTACGGGATTTTCGATGTTGGGGGTGATAAGTACTGTAGGGTTTTTTTCCTTAATTCTGGTAGAATGGTGACTATCATATAGTTGCTGACGGGGCATTGTTATATGCAAACTCAATCATTGGCAGTTGCTGCTCCCAGTCGGCCACGTCATCGCAGGTGGCGCGAATCAGCTGCTCCATCGTCTGATTCGCCCGTTCGGTTTGTCCGTCAGTCTCAGGGTGGTAGGCGGAGGAGAATTGCAAGCGCGTGCCAAACTGTTCCCAGAGGCTGCGCCAAAATTTGCTGGTGGATTTTGTGTCATGATCCGAAATGATGGCGGATGAGATTCCGTGGAGGCGAACGACGGTCGAGATGAAAAGGCAGGCTGTTTCTTCGGCTGAGATGCTTTTCTTGGAGGCGAGTGAGCCATCTTTGTCAACTTATCGACAACGACAAGTATCGCGTCAATGCAGATGTCCTTGGCACGCAGTTCTGTAATGAAGTCCATTGTTACCTGCTGCCACGCACGCTCACGTGGCGAAATCGCTTGCAACTGTCCAACTATACTTTGGTGCCCAAACGCGGCCAGTCCCTGTCTTTACGTAATAGACTCCCTTAGCTGTCGCGAGCTGTTTGTACGCACCCGATGTAAAGAATCTGTCCGTCTGGTACCCGTGGGTGAATAGGCCTGCTAAGAGTGGGGAAGTTAATGACAATGTAGGTGACTGTGTAGTGGAAATTGGATTCCATAAAATCCAACCACCTGATATGTCGTGGGTTGAGCAGTGGCTGTACGCGGATGTACTGTAGGCTGCGATGGTCTGTTCTTACTGTCACAGCTGCGTCCGTGAGGTAGCACCACCACACTTTGAAGGCGTGCACGATTATGAGCATCTCTTTGTTGTGTATCGGATAATTTCGCTCGGGCGGGTGTAATTTCTGTAACTCATACGTGAATCTGATAGTAACCCCATCGTTAATCTATTTTCAAGAAGAACCGAGCTTTGCGAAGCTGGTCGATCAGTTCGTCAGCGCGCGGGATAGGGTAATGCGACTTGATAGTCACCCTATTCAATGCTTTGTAGTCAATGCACATTCGGTATCCGCCGATTTTTTTCGGGGTGTACAACATGGGGGGAGCAAATGGCGAGGAACTCGAGCGGATGATTTTTTTCTCCGTTAAGTAGTCTACAGAAGCTGCTTCCATAATTCTTCTAACTCCTGCTGTGTCAGTCGAAACTGTCGCTGCACCGTGGGTTGTGTCCCCGGTTCTAATTCTATTCAATGGTCAAAGGGTCATTTCGGTGGTAATCCCTCAGGCAGGTCATCTGGAAATATCTGTGGAAATCTGCGAATCAGCTGCGCTAAACCGGCCGGCACTGTTGCTGTCAGCTTCTCAAAATCGGACTGCTGCGAGGCCCCGTCGAAGGCACGAACGACTACAGCGAAGACTTCTTTGCCCCGTGCGATCACTCATTTGATTGCCACGGAGTTCACATGCGCCACTCCCCTAGTGATCCCCTTTGTCCATTGTGGTAACGTCACAATACGACCGTTGAATTTGACGGAACAGCTGCCGGTCGTCCAGTCAATTTTCTGATTGAATCATCGCAGCCAATTCCGTCCCAGCAACATGTCGAAGCCATCGAGTGTAGTTGCCAGTATCCCGATCGAAAAAATGAATTCAGCTCCACAACTTACCCTTATCCTGTCTGCCCTGTCTTTTATTGCTAATGGGGTCCCGTCAACTAGTCGGGCGTCAATCTCCGGTAGACACCTATCTAAGGGTAACTTTTTTTTTTTGGTCGTGGCGAGGTTGATCTGACAGTGAACGAAGATTTTATTTTTCACGTTCACAAAGATTTTAATATTTCCACCTTGAACCCTATCCTCTAAGTAAATGGGGTAATCCGCCGCTGCACCCTCCTTATTCAGCCGAATTTGGTCGATTGCATGGATCGGTACCAGTACTCGATGAGGATCATTGGTCCCGGGCGAGCATGTTTCATCAGTAGTAGGCCCGTTAACTACTGTTACTAAGCGTTTCCCTGATCGCTGGAACTTTCTGCCCCTGATTACTTCTTCCACTCCTCTGGGCATTCTGACTTTGCGGTGCCCCAGTTAGTTACACCAGAAAACAACGACCTTTGAAGCTTGTAGCTGATGAGTTCGATGTTGTAACTTTTTGTACTGCACACTTGATTGGTCCCCAAGTGCGACTTCCGTCATAGGAACCCGTCCTTGCCTTGAAGAATGAATCCAACTGCTCCGTACCCCTCTACGCCTCCATCAAATACGTGATTTCTTTGACCTGTATGTCTCTGAGCAGATTCGGTCGAAGTCCCCCGATGTATCTGTCGAATTTCTCATCAGGGTAAATGTAGCCGACCTAATCGCATAAATTCTTGAAGCTGCTGGTGTAGTCCTGGACCGATCCAAGTTGGCTCCATGTGCGAAGGCGGTCACGCACTTAACTGCTTGCGTTGACGTTTTCGAAGCGGCGACGAATTCCCGCGCACCACGATTGCCACGTGCTGTACTCGTTCACCTTGCAATAGCTTCGTGCCCAATAATTGGTCGTGCGAAAGCGCTCGATCATGCGCGGCGTTGTATCCGGCACCTGCGACTGAGTTATCTACTGCCACTAATCCATCGCTGGTCCACGTAGGAGCGAGACGACGTATCGGGTTTTTTGCGCATCGTCGACGACGAGGTCGCAGTCGTAAAATACGTTCAGGTGAAAAAATCACCCGCTGACGGACAAACTGTCACGCTGGCTTGGGTCGAACGTGGGCGACCTCTGAGTCTTGAGAATTCCCGGTGCCATATTGATACTTGCAGTTTGCAGGCTGGTAGAAGTTGCAATTGGGGGCGGCGGATTTACATTCGCCCATTCACCAACTTTTGCTCGTCCAATAGCCAGTGATGGGTTGTTCGTTGAACTCTCAGGTGAAGCCGCATGTGGTCGCTGATTGTCGATAGGTATTACGGAACGCTGCTGGGTTACTTGCTCATGTTGTCCTTAGGTTGTCGTTGTTGTGTCGTGTCGTGTTTGAGGCATTCGGCTCTGCAGTGCAGATATCTTGGATTCAGATTGAGTCGTTTCAGCTCGCAGACGCACCAAATCCTGCAGATACAACTCGTGAGTGAGACAGACTTCTTCGAGTCCTGCCGCCCTTTCTTCAGGAGTCATGGCAGTAGACGACGACTGATCCACCATTTTGCGGAAAGTTTTGGGCAGCTTTCGGCACGTTGGCACTGTCAATTTATATATATTATACATATTTGTGTTGGCTTGGTAGGTTTTCTACAATTCTGGATCCTACAGTAGAGAGGACAACCCCTCTTCTTGTACCCCTCTCTCTCTCTCTCCTAATTGACTCTCTATTCTCTCGTCAATTTCCTACTACCTAGCTAAACCTTTTTTTAACATGGTATCAGAGTAGGATGATCCTGCTGAGCCTTCTCATCACGCTTCCGCAGCATACTCCCTCCCCTCCTCTCACTATCGCGCCGTCGTGGTGGCCTCATCGTGTTGCCATAGCGGCCTCGATGTGTTGCCGTGGCGGCCTCGACGTGCTGCCCTGGCGTCGATTCGCTGCCATAGGGGCTTCGTCGTGCTGCCGTGGCGGCTTCGAGGCGCCAGTGCACGGACGGCACCGGCCAGTGCACTGTTTAAGTGCCAGTCAGCACGCCCGCACGCCAGCCAGTGCGCCAGCCAGGGTGCCTCACCGAAGCCATGGCCCCTCCCCTTCGTCTCCCCTCATCCTAGCTGCAACTGATGGCTCCCTTCCCCGTAGTCGCCGGGCCGAGCCACGCCGCCGGGTGCCACGGGCTTCGCAGTCACCGCCGCCGCTGTCATCATCGTAGCAGCCGCTGACGCCGTTGCTGCCAGTCGCCGCCGCCGTCATCATCTCGCACACCGAAGGGCAGAAGCCACAGCTGCTGCAAGGCATGGGGGTGTACGGCCTTGGGGCTATTGCGTGTGTGGTGTGCTAGCGCCTACCAAGCCTAGGGGGTGTGTCAACTTATATATGGATTATATATGTATATATATATACTGTAATTATCAATCAGTATTACCAAGGCAGCGGATATGCAGTAAGCACAAGGCATTAGCCTCCGTAAGTGTCAGTATTGCAGCGGAAGTAGAGCGCAAGGCCGCAGATTGTTGGCTCTGATACTAGGTGTAATGAAGCGCAAAGAGTTTGTATTGAATGATTGAGTAACGAGGAAACAATATTATTGAGGCAGTATCAAAACAGTAGGGAGCGTGGATATAGCTAGCCTAAAGCACATGGTCTTGGCTTGGCAGAGCTGCAACGTGTGGTTCGTAAATTGGCGCGAAGCGTCCAGATCTAGGCATGAAACAGCAAGGCGGGCAAAATGTATGCGGCTAGTCAGGAGGCCACATTTGGGTACCGCGATTTGAATTTCGTGGCAGAGTTGCGCGGCAATCCCGTTATAGTAGTGTACGCCTTACTAACTAAAACCTGTGATAAGAGGGTGTCAAAAGTAGCACGGATGGGACGTCACAGATATTGAAAGAGGGTTACCACCACTGTACCAGGCCTCTCAATAGCCGAGTGAAACACCCTGATTGCCCTATTTTTTCCGGGTATTTTTATATGTCATCTTAAAAATCCGACCTAGATGTATTTTTAACTCTGATTCAGAAAGTGTAAAAATTTGTTTACCTGTACAGAAACCGGGTTCCGGAGCCGTGTACACTGATCGGTCAGGGTGACGTTAAATTTACCATAATACATAAACCTTCAAGGACCGGACTCGTGGCGGATTTCGAGCGCGAGATTAGATGCATGCCCCCCGCCACAGGCATTTTCGTGCTGGCTTTCCCGCCCACTCGCACATGCAGTGTGGCAGACTCCACCCCAGACCACACCTCGTTGGCTCTGGGGCGGGACCTCATTGGTCGGTTTGGCAGCTTTGGTCCTGCGCTGCCATGGTCCCACGAACAACGCAGCAGGAAACCCCAGCAGGCAGCAGCATGCGATGCGACTACATACCATTGAAACTGCTTGCGTGCATGCCGCATGCCCCCCTCTCTTTCTGAGCCCTTCACCTGTGTTCTGGAAAGACCCACCTGCTTTATCCCTTTCTTGCTCAAGCAGTGTCTCTCAGTATTCCTCACATCTCTATTTCTCGGCAATCTTATTCTCGTTGTCTTTCCTCTCGCCATGGGCAGCGATGACGACACGGACTAGGCAGAGCCTCCTCCTAGTTCTGGGGGTTTTCCCTTTGTTTCCACCTACTATTCCCAACGTGCAGCCTACTAGTCCTGCTCGCCCCTCTCGCCTCTCTCCTCCTCGTCACCAGAAGTATCCCTTTGAGCCCGTGTCACCTCTCTGCTCGTCGCACGATGACATGCCCGACCTCGATGTGGAGCATGTCGAGGGCACGTCTGAGCTCGCTGCCAGCACGCGGGAGTCACCCGTCGACGCATCAACGAAGCGGAAGGCATTCGCTCACTGGATGCAGCGTCCTCTGCCTGGGCACCGCCACCGAAGGAGCCTGCCCCCGCGCCAACTCCACCCCCTCCAACTCCTAGCCCACCAGAGAACCCCTCATCCCCCACTGATGCTGAGTATGCTATAATCAAGCGTCGTTTTGTCGACGACTGTTCTCGCCGATTTCCTTGGCTGCGATTGACACAGTTGAAAATGCTCGTCCTGCGTTGAAGTGTGTTGTGTGCTTGCAGTTTGGCGACGCTTTTAGCAACACCAACTATGGGAAAAAGGGCGAGGGTGGACGCGACCTACTGGTGGGAAGCATCCGCATCCATGTCGGCACGCTGGCACACAAAAATGCACTGAAAGCCAAGGAGGAGCGGGAGAGAGAGAAGGAGCAGCAGCGCACGCTTAACAGGTGGCGCACGAGCGACTCTTTGACAAAGCATCTCATACGGTGCTTCCATATTGCCCTCTTTGTCTGTAAGGCTGACGCTCCCATCGCCATGTACGTCGCCCTATGCTACTTCCTTGCGTCGGAAGGTTTACCTGACCTGCCGCAGGGAGGGGCGTATGGGACGTACTACACTGAGTAAGTCTCAAAGCTCTTTATATTTTGTGCACAATGTTTTGTTGTAACGCTATTCTAACTTCTGTCGCTTATGTGCATGATGCTCCCACACTACAAGTACAGCTTCAAATAGGGAACTAAGGCCATATCGAACTACCTGAGAGACGAGCAGCTTCAGCACCTTCTCTCTTCCCCCTACGTCGGCATTGCGATTGATGAGAGCACGGATCGCGTCCATGGCAAACACATGATTCTGTACGCCACCTTCTTCCGCGTCAGTCACGTCGTTACTGAGTTCGTCACACTCCTGTCGGTGGAGAGGACCGATGCCGCGTCGCTGACCGCCGTCCTGTTGCAGTTTCTCTTGTTGATCGGCCTCGACCTGCAGAGGATTGTTGGCATGTCGACCGATGGGGCTTCTGTGATGACGGGCGCCACATCTGGGGTCGTCACCAGGTTTTCGTCGCGGAGGTTGTTGACGACGCTTGTCAAATTGTTCAACTGCTCCATTAATGCTTGCAGGTCTACTATTTCCCGGGCAGAGTTCGCAGCAGTCGAGGTCGTCTGTTCCTCAACCGTCGAGTCTACCGGGGCCATGGCGGTCAGGACGGGGCAGAAACTAGCACACACGCTGTAGTTGTTAACGTAAAAATATTTACGACCCAAGACAACTGCTGTGCAGCTGTGTTAATCCCCTTTGACCACCCTTCTAATTAAACAGGAAAACGGAAGGTTCCTGGAAAGCTCGGGCTCTGATACCAGCTGTTATGATTTAGAAGATGTCAATGTACTATAATGTGAGAATCCAAGGTCGTTATTGCAATGAAGGCACAAGGTTATATAGGGGTTGGCGTACTAGGGCGATAACCTCGGAACGTGGGTAGGTTCGGCAATGTGGCGACAGTGTCGGACGCGACTCGGGAAAGGGTTGGGCCGAAAATGAAGGCCGAACGTGACGAGTCGAGATGTTCGGGTGTACACGGTAGCGGTCGACGCAGTAAGGAATGGTAATTCCTTACACTACCCCCCCCTCCTAAACGAGTCTGTGGGCATCGGAGACATTCCGACGCTGATAATATGCCGTTAGAATCGGATGTGATTCTAGGTCAGCGAGGGGCACCCAGCTTTCGTCTTTGGACGTGCGATCGCGCCAGCGGACGAGGAAGTCAACCATCCGACGGTTCAGCTGCGTTGTGACGCGATGTCCCAGAATTTTCAAAGGCTCGGTCGTCGGTTCCTGCAAATGCGTTAGCTGCGGTACACCGCGGTTGCGTGCCAAGGCTGACGAACTCGGGACGTAGGGTCGGAGAAGACTGACGTGGAAGGCCGGGTGGTGGCTCCAATCAGCCGGTAATCGAAGATGAACAGTGACAGGTGTCACCAGGTTGGTCACCGGAAAAGGTCCGCAGAATCTGGGTCGGAGTTTGCTCGAGATCGGCAGCCGCAAATTGCGAGTGTCGAGGAGGACGTTATCTCCCACCTTGTAAGTGATGTCGCGTCGATGTCGATCGGCTTGTCGGCTTGCGACCAGATTGGCTTTTCTGATTGCCTCAGCGGCCTTTTCGCGGGCGGCGAGAATGTCTTCAGCAAATTTCCGGGACTGGGTTACAGGCGTCTCGATGTTCGGGGTAGAGGTTACCACGGGGTCCTGTCCGTAATTTAGGAAAAACGGGGACTGATGGGTTGTGGCGGAGGATGCGTTGTTTTACGCAAACTCCAGCAGCGGGAGAGATTTCTCCCATGTTGATGGGTCAGTACAGGTAGTTCGAAGGAGTTGCTCCATGGTCTGGTTGACGCGTTCAGTCTGCCCGTCGGTCTGTGGGTGGTAGGCAGAGGAAAATTGGAGTTTGGTGCCGAACTGGTCCCACAGGTGGCGCCAGAAATTCGATGTGAATTTCGGGTCTCGGTCTGAAATGATGGCGGAGGGCAGTCCGTGCAGTCGGATGACGTTCGCGAGGAATAGTTGCGCAGTTTGTTCGGCTGTGATTGACTGTTGGCAGGCGATGAAGTGCGCCATTTTCGTGAGTCGGTCGACGACCACGAGGATGGCGTCGTTTCCGCTGGGACCGGCCAACAGTCCTGTCACGTAGTCCATCGTGACGTGTTGCCAGGGTCGCTCAGGCGGATCCAACGGCTGTAGTAGTCCGGCTGCTCGCTGATGCGGCGATTTCATAATCTGGCAGGCAGTGCAGGAGGACACGTACTTGCGCACGTCATCGGCCATGTTCGGCCAGTAATGATTCCTCTGCAGCATCTTCAAGGTTTTGTCGACGCCGAAATGCCCGGAGGTAGGGTTGTCGTGGGATTCCTGGATTAGGAGGGTACGAAATAAATCGTAGCCGGGCACCCATAGGCGAGAAGTACCGCGCTTATTAAAATAAGGTCCGGTGGCGATTGTATGCTGTTGATGGATAGCGGAGCGGAAAAAGGGATAGATCTTGTAGCCGTGGGAGAATAGTCCCGTAAGTAATGGGTTTGTCTGGGCGACTAGTATAGCGGCAGTATGGGCAGTGGGGCGAGTCAGGGCATCGGCAATATTATTTGCCCCTCGTTTGTAGGTGGTGGTGTTATGGAAATTCGACTCGAGGAAATCGAGCAATCGGATCTCTCGCGGGTTGAGATTCGGTTGGGCGCGCAGGTATTGTAAGGACTTGTGGTCAGTTCGCACTGTGACGTCAGCGCCTGTCAGGTAGCACCGCCAAGTTTTGAACGCGTGGACGATCGCCAACATTTCTTTATCGTGCACTGTATAGTTCTTCTCTGCGCCCTGCAGCTTCCGTGATTCGTAGGCGGACTAAGGTGACAGAACCCAGAAAACTTTGTAGTTCTTTGAGGTTGGTCGGCGGCTTCCATTCCTGTATGGTCTTGATTTTCTTGGGGTCGATTTTCACTCCTTCGGTAGAAACGACGTGGCCCAAAAACTCCAACTCCTGCTTAAGAAAGCCGCACTTAGACCCTTTCGTGATGAGGCGATTCTTGTGCAGCAGCATGAAGACTGCATCAAGATCTTGTAAGTGCTGCTCCCGGCTGCGGCTGTAGATTAGTATGTCGTCGAGGAAGATAATAACACATTTATCCAAGAGCTCCCTGAAAATGCCGTTCATGGCCATCTGGAACGTTGAAGGCGCGTTCGTGAGGCCAAAAGGCATCACCAGGTATTCCTAACTGCCGTAGCGGGTTCGGAAGGCGGTTTTGTGATAGTCTTCGGCGGCGACGCGAATTTGGTGGTAACCCCCTCGCAAATCGATTTTTGAGAAGTACTTGGCTCCGCGAAGCTGGTCGAGTAGTTCGTCAGCTCGCGGGATCGGGTAACGCGACTTGATGGTGATCCTGTTGAGGGCGCGGTAGTCGATGCACACGCGGAATCCGCCATCTTTTTTCGGCGTGAACAGTATGGGGGCGGCGTATGGGGACGTGCTGGGTCGGATAAAACCCTTCGTCAGGAGGTAATCTAACTGCTGCTGCAATTCTTCGAGTTCCGGTTGGCTGAGCCGAAATTGTCCCTGTACTGTCGGTTGTGCGCCTGGTTCCAGCTCGATGCGATGGTCTTCGGGTCGGCTTGGCAGAAGTCCCGCGGATAGGTCGTCCTGGAAAATCTCGGGGTATTTTCGAATCAGGTCCGCTAAATCCGGAGGAACGGCTTCAGACAGCTTCGCGATATCTTCCGCTGTTGTCGGAGTCGTTACTTCGCGAAGATCAACGGCGTACGCTGCAGCTCCCGCCTTTATCGCGCGCTTGAAAGTTATCGCGTGGACTTGAGTACTTCGCATGCGGGGTCCCGTCCATTTCGGTAACTCGCGATAGTGCCCATCGATTTTGATGCTGCAGCTGCCCGTCGTCCAGTCGATCCTCGGGTTGTATTGTCGCAGCCAATCCCGTCCCAGCAGTACGTCGCACTCGTCGAGTGTGGTCGCCAGCAGCCCCATCCGAAATTTTACGTGCTCGCCGCAGTGGAAACTGACATGCTCCACCCGCTCTTGTATTGCCAGCGGTGTTCCATTCACCAGTCGTGCGTCAATTTCGGGTAGACACTTTAATAAGGGGATACCTATTTTCTTAGCCCTGTCCAACTGCATGAGACTGTGACTCGCGCCTCCATCCACGAATATTTACAGCAACACCTCGTTGACTTTACCCTCCACCAACACAGGGTGATCAGCGGTTTCGTCCCCCTTATTCGTCCGGGTCCGGTCGATTGCAGCAATCGGGATCACGACCCGGTGGGGACTGTGTGGCTCGGGCGAAGAAGCCTGCCCGTCATTAAGCGGCCCGGTACTTACTGACGCAACCCATTTCCCAGTCGCTCCTCCGGCTTCTTCCCCATAGAATTTTGGATGGCTAGGAGCTCTTGGCACTTGCATTTGATGTGACCCGGTCGGCCACAGTGGTAGCATAGCCCCGTATTGCACGGAGCAAGTGCGTAAATATCCACTGCGTCCATCCCTTTTATCGTGGCGCGCTGGTACTGTTATCGAGTGCGACCTCCGTCGTAGAAGTTCGTCCTCGGCTTCGTGAGCGAATCAGCGGCTTCGGCGAGTTGGATGAAGTCATGTAACCGCTTCGCATGTCGTTGTAATTTTATTTGGTACTGTATTTCAGGCTTCAGCCCGCCCATGTACCTGTCGACCTTCTCCAACTCGTGCATGTAGCCACATCGATCCACCAGCGTCAAGAATGACGCGGTGTAGTCGGACACAGATCCCAGCTGCTTCCACATGCGTAAAGTCTCGCGCGCTTTGTCTGAGTCAGGAGCATGCTCAAATCGCTTGCGAAGCTCTGCGCACCATGTTGCCCACGTGCGAATATGAGTTGCACCAAACAGCAAATCTGCCTCGTCTTCGTCGCCGAATTCTTCGGACCACTCATGCTGTCCTTCCGTGCGAGTTGCCGCTGAGTCGACGATGACCTTCCACCACTGTAGGGCGGCCCCTTGCAGCAGTGTCAACGCATGACTGATCCGCTTCTGATCGTCTCGGATGCCCGTCGCGTTAAAATAGATATTCATGGCGAATATCCATTGCCGCACCGTCACGCCTTTATTAGTTGGGTCGAAAGGAGCGGGTTGCTGATATCTCACGCCGCCACTTGTCGAGCGCGGGGCTGTCGCTGCTAGTCGTGCCAGCTCCACTCGCGTCGATTGCTGTTCACCCGCCTCGCTTCGTGCATCGTCGCCCGGCTTCTCTGGACGCCTTTCCTGCGCCTGGCGAAGTCATTGGTTTTCGTCGCGGAGGTTGTTGACGACGCTTGTCAAATTGTTCAACTGCTCCATTAATGCTTGCAAGTCTACTGTTTCCCGGGCAGAGTTCGCAGCAGTCGAGGTCGTCTGTTCCTCAACCGTCGAGTCTACCGGGGCCATGGCGGCCAGGACGAGGCAGAAACTAGCGCACACGCTGTAGTTGTTGACGTAAAAATATTTACGACCGAAGACAACTGCTGTGCAGTCATGTTAATCCCCTCTGACCACCCTTCTAATTAAACGGGAAAACGGAAGGTTCCTGGAAAGCTCGGGCTCTGATACCAGCTGTTATGATTTAGAAGATGTCAATATACTATAACGTGAGAATCCAAGGTCGCTATTGCAATGAAGGCACAAGGTTATATAGGGGTTGGCGTACTAGGGCGATAACCTCGGAACGTGGGTAGGTTCGGCAATGTGGCGACAGTGTCGGACGCGACTCGGGAAAGGGTTGGGCCGAAAATGAAGGCCGAACGTGACGAGTCGAGATGTTCGGGTGTACGCGGTAGCGGTCGACGCAGTAAGGAATGGTAATTCCTTACAGCTACCTGCAGATAAACATTTGAGGGGGATTGTGGCATTTGTGTACTGATAATCCTGATTCCTCTCGACTCATCCCGCTTTGCTCACGTTTTCCCAACCTCCCCCCACCTTTTCGATTCCCCCTTCCCCCAACGATCTCGATTCCCCTGGCCCCCCAATTTCGAAACTCCTTCCCTGCCCCCTCAAACTTGATTCCTCTGGCCCCCAGTTTCGAAGCCCCCCGTGCCCCCCAATTTCGAAGCCCCCCATACCCCCCCAAAATTCGATTCCGCTTGCCGCCCCTCGCTCGTTCAACTCCCCCGTGAATTTCGTTTTCCGCTTCGCCTCGCTATTCCAATTCCCCCCCAGTCAAGCCCGATTCCCCCCACCCCTCTCAATTCCAGTTTCCCCCGTCATTTTCGATTCCCCCCATCCCGCGAAATCCAATCCCCCCCTAACGCAATTCCGTTTCCCCCAGTATCGCAAGTCAAAATTTCCCCTCGATGAAGCTCAGCCCAATTCGCGTGTATATTTTATTTTCGCCTCTCGCCCTCCAATCACTTCCGTCCTCCTTTCTTGACCTCCACATTTCCATCCCTATGCGCTTCATTACACTTGTGCATCGATTCCGGATTGGGGGAAAAAGAGTGGAACAGGGGGGGGGGGGGGGGGGGGGGAGGGAGAGAAATCGTGGAAAACAGAGACCCCAAAACCTTAGCGTAGGCCTGGTGTGTAACTGAAACGACTCGCCTGCCCTCAACGTCCCCTGACGTCGAGGAATGTGTACCGGGCCCTTAGCCGATTCATCTGACCTCTGATCGGGCTTGACCTTACGCCACACTAAAATGTACTGTTTCACTCTCATTGATAATCAGACCTCGTACTGCGACCCTGGTACAACCCAGCGTTAAAACTTGGCGGGCGATCCTGGAGTCAATTGCTCCCCCCAGAAATCTGTTGGACGCGCTCCGAATACGGCGGAATTGCGCGGCTCAAAGAGACCGCGTCCTCAATTAACATTTTCTACTCGTTTTGCTCACGGCCCGGGCAACCCCGAACTCGGATAAATATTTTCTACGCGCGAGTCGGGAAATGCGAAAGTTATGGAATTTGAAATTATGTGAACTGTATTTGGGATTTAGTTATTGCCCGTGAATTACCAGCCAATTGGACAGGCATCCGAAGCAGTACTGCCACACTTCAACAGTGCCGCAAGATACGATTCCTATTCAGAAGGGCGCTGGCGTGCATGAATGTGCAGTCGGGCGGTGTATCGTCATTGAGCACGGCACAATAGTGGATGTTGTTTCGGAGATGAAATTGTAATCATTGCTAGCTGGGTCAACCCTGCAAGGTCCCGTCAATCACCCTTCTCTAAACATTTCAGGGCTTCCACATTTGAATGTGGGTGCTTAAAGCCTGAATCTAGAATGTTAAAAAACCATGAATACTGGGCATGAAAACAGTGCCAAAAAAATTGGGCGAAAGTAATTTCAGCAAAGTTCCCCCAACGAACCCAGAATTCGGCGAAATAGCAGAACTGTAATTGCAGCACGGAATTTTGTCGGCAACATCCGAGTTCAACAGCGCATGAACAGTGTGGGGGGGGCGGGGGAAGGGAGGGAATAATGTGTGATATGAGACCCCCACAAAAATGTGTTCAGAATGGTCACAAGTGAAACTCAAGAATGCTGAGTGCTATAGTAATTACGGGTTTGTCCTTTTCAGCAGCATTTACGAGTTGCCGCTTGTTCCCTGAGAATTGCGATGTTCAAACGATATTTACTACGTTACCCTCTATTGGACGAAAACAAGTTCAGGATTTCTGAACTTGATAGCAAACCATTCTAGACTCGGGCTTTAAAAATTCATGAACGCACCTTGGAGTTCGCGGAATGTTGTTGGTTTCGCGGAGCTCACATTTCACTGTGTTTTGCTGGCATAAAACACATAGGGAGGGATGCTATGAATTTCTGCCGACAATATAGAACCTTTGGCGCTTGTCGAGAAACTGTCGTGGCTGCACTGTGGAATCTGGGCAGATGCAAACTAGATTTACGCGAGAAAACACGAGAGTGCATGGATTCTCATGAAAAATCATGCCCCAAAGCTCAACTTCCGCCACTAGCTAAACTCCACACGTAACTGGACAGCCCTGTCATAATTTCGGGGCATCATTTACAACTCTCAACTGTTACAAACGCGGAAGGCGAAAAACTGTCGAAGCTGCCCAAAAGACCTCACGTAATAAAAAACGCATTTCCCGACTCGCGCGTAGAAAATATTTATCTGAGTTCGGGGTTACCCGGGCCGTGAGCAAAATGGGTAGAAAATGTTAATTGAGGACGCGGTCTCTGCGAGCCGCGCAATTCCGCCCTTCATATCACTCCTTCACAGCAAAGCTGATGTTTCAAGGCGCGAAACATCCTCCTGTCCCACCCTTGTTTTCTGAATCTGCACTGCCATGCGAACCCACACGCACCGTTCTGCACCGCACTAGGTTTGCAGACGGATGAAGGTATTGAGTGGAATTCCGTGAGTTGTGTCTCACATCATTCGTTAGCCGTCATGGCTGCTGTCTCCGCATTCTCCGCGGGCACTTGCGCCAATGCCTGCTCGCTAACCCGTCAGCTCGAACATGTCGCCTTCCGGCCACGGCTTGCCTCACCCCTCACCATTTCTCCGGGTTTTCCGGAGAGAAAGCAATGGTTGCGCGAAGCAGGAAATCACAGAATCTCTGTCCGCAGAGCATTGCGCGGGCGCGGCAAGACCGCTCAAGGAGGCGGAAGCCTAGTGTCCGTGGAGCTGAGCGCGGCGGAGGCGGAGCAGGGCGGCAGGGGAGCGCGGGCGATGGTGGAAGGGGAGAGGCCGGAAGACGCGGCTTTCATGCGACGCGCGCTGGAGCTGTCGAGGCGGGCCCTGGGGCGCACGTCGCCGAACCCCATGGTGGGGTGTGTGATTGTGAAGGACGGCGCCATTGTGGGAGAAGGCTGGCACCCCAAGGCGGGCGAGCCGCACGCGGAGGTAAATAGCAACGGTAGCGCCACAGCACGCAGCATGGGGTGGAGTGGGATGGGGTGGGATGGCATGGGCCGAAACGCCGTGTGTATTTCCTCTGTCGGATCCTCCCCGTTCCCTCCCTCGTTTTCGTCACTGCCTTCCACCTCGTGCCACCCTCCCCCCATGCCCCTGCACCACCACGTACGGCACCTCCTGCAGCAACTGCCGACGCATATCCGATTCCCCACAAACAAAACACACCCGCTCTCCCTTCACCCCGTCCCGCGCGTGCGCTCGCCAGGTGTTCGCGCTGAAAGCAGCGGGCCACGCAGCAGCGGGGGCGACGGCGTACGTGACGCTGGAGCCGTGCAGCCACCACGGGCGCACGCCGCCCTGCAGCCAGGCGCTGGTGCGCGCGCGCGTGCAGCGCGTGGTGGTGGGGACCAGCGACCCCAACCCGCTGGTGGGCGGGGAGGGCATTCGCATGCTGCGGCGGGCGAAGGTTGACGTGGTGGTGGGCGTGGAGGAGGAGGCGTGCCGGCGCAACGTCGAGGCGTTCATGTTTAAGATCACCAACCAGCGCCCTTACTCTATTCTGCGGTGGGTGGACCGTCCTAAGACGGTTTAGAAGTTTTCGTGGTTTGGGAGAGGTTCAATGTCGGAACAGGCTCTCTCAAGCTACGTATTGATCCAGCAACTCCCTTCTCCCACTGTAGCTTTCATTCGCTTCATGCCCTTCCATCTATAAACCCCCCCTACCCCCTCCTCACTCACGTCCTGTGCGCTTTCCCCCCTGTTTCTTCCCCCCCTCCTCCTTGCCGGTGCAGGTACTCCCTCTCTCTCTCGGGCTCGCTCCTGCCGTCCATCGGCACCTCGGGTTGTGCGGCCGGCAGCTACCGCAGCCAGCTCCTGGCAGAGTACGACGCTGCTGTCATCACAGACTCCGACCTGCTCGCCGCCTCTGCTGCCGATGCCGACCCCTCTCCTGACCTCTCGGCCAGCCCTGCCACCCTGCTGTCCTCCGAGCCTGACTGTCAGCAGCCTCTGCGCGTGGTCATCGCTCGCTCCCTCGCCCATCTCCCCCGCTCCACTCCCATCTTCGACACCTCGCTTGCTCCCACGCTCGTGGTCACTGACGAGTCTGCTGTCGTGGCTGACGTCAGCACGGCGTCAGCGACAGGGCAGGCGGCGTCAGAGCAGTGGTTGAGGGGATGCGGGGTGGATCTGGTGGTGCTGCCAGATGGTTTCTCCCCCTCGAACGTCATGGAGCTGTGCGAGGAGCGCAACTGTAACTCCGTGCTGTGGGACTGGCATCCACTCATGCAAGGCGCAGCCGCCAGTAGCAGCAGCAGCAGTGGCAGTTCCAGTGGCAGTGAGGGCTGGTCGCTGGGCAGCTGGCTGATGGAGGATGACGCAGTGGAGAAGGTGGTGGTGGCGCTCTCACCTGTGCTGGGTGGTAGTGTGCCTGGGACAGGAAGCAGCACAGGCGGTTGGCTTGAGGGTGAAGCGGGAGCTCTGTCCCGTTTGCGTGGTCTCCGTGCACATGTGTGTGGTCAGGATGTCATCGTAGAGGGCTATGTTGAGAAATAATTCGTGATTCTCTGGGTTCAAACAAAGCTTTTGCTGTTTGTGATCACAGGAAAGTGCTGACTGTGCTGCCATTTTTGCTGGATTTCCAGCTTCTTGAGTGTTGGAAATATCTCAAAGGACTTGAGCGTTTCTGAAGTGTAACACTACACTCGAGGAAGATCACAACGGGTACGCGAGTCAACGGAGGTTACACGAGGGGAGGGACAAGGAACGCGAAGGAACTCGAAGGGTCACAACTGGAGGTTGCGACTGACCGTTACAACAGCGCGGATGGTAGCCGAAGCGACAATCGAGTCGCTGTGCGACTCGATAACCGCTCCTGCAACTGTATTCTACAACTGCTTTCTTATTTTCTATATATTGCTGTATGCTTGTTTCTTTAATCAATCACTTGTTCTCATATACTAGTACAAGGGTTCAACTACTCAACTTCCGCTGCACTACTCAAGTCTCAATCCTCAACTGGGACTTAGTCTCTGGAAAGATCCTAAGGGCTTTTCTCAGCCCAACATCGTATGAGAGCTAGTCAGAGACCAAACTCCCAGCAACTACGCTCTATCTACAATCTGCAATTCAACGACTTCATTGATTACAAGTCATGGACAGCAAGGGCAAGAAAATCTCTACGGGCTCACCCAGCACCCAAGACACTCAACCCGGCAACTCTGGATTGCACACTTCAGGACTGCAAACCGAGACCGGCGCTGCTCAAGAAACAACAGGAAGAGCACCGGAAATGGTGACCCCATCACCCTCTTCAAGCGTGGATCCGAACCTAATGGAAAGGTTCTTCAGCTTCATGTCGCACTTCGACCAGCAGCAGCAGACAAGGACACCTGCGTATTCAACACAGAGCAACGGAGGAAACATGGGATTAGCACCGATGAGCCTCGACAATTCATCATTCGGGCGACACAACCAAGCGCCTACCTTTGCGCCTTATCACTCTTCACCGGGGACATTCGAGTTCATGCCGCCCCGTGCCCAACCAACAGCAGCTGCATCACAACAGACACCAAACGGGATTTTGTGTCTCCAGGCGCAGTTTTCACACGTAATCAAGTTACAGACATCCTCACCGTTCAACAGACACGACTTCTTTACCTGGAGCTTTGAGTTCGAGCTGCTGATGGAGGCTGCGCATCTCTTGGGATACTTCAACGGGTCCCTGCCATTTCCAAGCAACGGCACTGGAAAAGAGCAAGAATTTTTCACGTATCAGTCGCTGCTGGCGTATACAGTTCTCCTGCGGAACCTGTCACCACAAGAACAGCAGAGCATCAGAACGTATCAGAGCTACGGAAACTCCGCAGAACTCGCATGGCATCATCTCAAGTGTCTCTATCAAGCAAACGACAGCGTGACACAAAGCAGACTCATGCAACAGCTGACAACAATACAGATGAAGACCGGGGAAAAGGCGATGCAGTATATGAGTCGATGCCAGACCCTCCGCGACCGCTTGCTTCGGTGCGGAGGAACAATCACAGAAGAAAGCTTCGTGACACCTGTCCTCGCCGGGCTCGGGCCAGAATGGAGAACCACACGCTCGCTTCTTCGCGCCCACGGAAGGATCTCGGAGATGCACCTCTGCGCCGAGCTTCATGCTGAACAACAGATGGACCTGTTCGAAGAAAGACAACCAAGGAAGCAGCAACAGTTAGTTTTCTACACTCAACGAAGGAACGAAAACAACTACAATCGACGCGGCAAGCAAGATCAACGCGACAACAGAGGACTCACCTTCGTGCCGCCGTTCTGCCACAACTGTCAAACATCCGGACATTCCAAAGTCAACTGCACACGTCCTCGTGTCTATCGTCCAGTAGACCCACAAGTCGCCTCCAAGACGTTCTTCCACATCTGCACAAGGGACACCGAACATCATCAACTGCATGGTACACATCGACAACTGCGCACCCGAATCACCACCCACCTACGCACCAGACGAAGAAGAATTCCCGCCGCCGCGCTCACAAAGACTTCAGGTCAACCCGACATACGCTGCGGTCGCCAACTCCGAACCCACCGGGCGAAACACCTGGTTCTTGGACAGCTGCTGCGGTCAACACATGTGTTCTTCCGGACGCTTCGTGCAACGAGAGCGACGCCTCAACCGCGACGTCATCATCACTGTCACCAACAACGAGAACCTGAAAACAAACAGACAAGGAGTCGTTTAGTTACAGTCCATTGAAACAAGTGTCATCCTGCAACTCAACAAGGTTCTAATCGTCGACAACTTGGGATACAATCTGCTAAGCGTCAGCCAGCTAATGGCAAAAGGAATTCACCTGGAGTGCGACTCGAACTCCAACGAGTTTCGCCTTTACCACGGGAAGGGCGGCCTCTTCATCGGTCGTGCTCTCCTGAAGTCAGGCGTCTTCGTGTTGGACTTCGTCCCCGATCGCGGTACTGCCGACAGTGATGGCATCGTGTCGTTCGCCGCCTGGACACACCCGCCGGATCTTGACCCCGACTTCAACCCCAACGGATTCTGGTACTCCAACACCATACCTGCAGCAGAAAGAACACGAGCGTTAGCAGTCATCAGACAAGAAAGACAAGTACCAGCAAGCATCTCTTCCCAGACATCACCTAGAGTAACAGCAGCAGGACCCAGCCAAGTACCATCACCAGCAATCCGTGGACCGCCAACCGAAGCAGATCAACTTATACCCATCACACGCGAAGTCTGCCGAAGTCCCGCCACGGTCGTCGCGTTCTTCTCCAACGCCGACATCTATCACCGCTCGCCCAGCCATCGCGCTCCCGACGACATCTGGCACCAACGTCTCGGACATCCTGCAAACAATACAATACTGCAAACCATCCAAGCCGAAGTGTTAGAACGAAACGCTCTCCTTACAACGAGCGGCCAAGAACTTCGACGACAACGCGCACGGTGCTTTACGTGCCCCGAAGCCGATCTTCCCCACCAGCCTTTTCCATCCCATCATAACCCAAGCGCACCTGCATACGCACCGATGGAAAAAGTCTACAGCGACATTTTAAACATGCCTCAAGAAGACACTGAAGCCGACTTCAACTACAGTATGTCATCACGTTTATCGACGCAGCAACAAGATACGTCTGGCACTACAACCTCAAAACGCGCGATCAAGCCTTCGACGCCTTCACGACATGGCTCCCCATCGTCGAACGAGAATCAGGAACCAAGCTCAAAAGTTTCCAGTGAGACGGTGCACTGGAATACCAGTCACAACGCTTCAGGACCTATCTGGCGGAAAGAGGAATCAGACGTCTGGTGTCTCTGCCCTACGCTCACTAGCAGCAGGGGGTCGCAGAACGCATGAATCGGACCTTGCAGACGACGATGCGAAAGCTGCTCCTGGGGATGAGACTGCCCAACACACTGTGGCCAGACGCGATGACACATGCAGTCCACCTGCACAATCTGTTGTCCTCGTCATCGCTTCCCAACAACGCATCACCGCACCTGCTGTGGACACGAAAAAGGGGCAGCACAAAATTACTTCGAGTTTTCGGATGCATGGTACAGTACAGACCCCACACAGCCCGAGCAGGACGCTTCACTCAACGAGCTCGGTGGGGACTACACCTCGGCATCGCCAAACATTTTCACGCATGCAAAATTCTCGACATACAAGACAAAAATACGGTGGCATCACGTGATGTTATCTTCTACGAGCGACTGACGCTGCAGCATTACCTGGACAACATTGCCAACACACACGACCCCACCGACGGCCTCGCGAGCCTTCGTTCCTTCGCCGACCGTGCTGCCGAGGCTGACGCAGCAGAAGAAGACGTACCTGGAGCCTCGGAAGCTGCCGGACCACTCCCTTTCTGTTCCGTACCTGTTCCACTCGATGAAGACAATCCCCTCGATAGCAACAACCTCGACACCTTTTACCACTTCGCTGACCAAGGTTACGTTACACCCCACCCCGTCGACACGAATGTTTCAGAATGCATTGGCCCAAACTTCTTACCTGATCCAGAAGATGGTGACGAAGCAGCCTATTCCGGGAATGAAAATTCCCCTCGACACACACCCACGGGACTGCAGAATCTCGGCCTATGGGTCTCCGTCCAGCACCCGCCGCCGCCATCTCCGCGCGAGCCCTCGACTCTGTCGCAGGCTCTGGGGGGGGAACATAAGGCGAAATGGAAGGAGGCGATGGAAAAGGAACTAAAAGCCCTTCAAGACCGAAATACATGGAAGTTGGTACCTACAACGAACATCAACGGGAAGAACGTCCTCTCGGGAAAATGGGTGTACCGCATCAAGACCAACGCGGACGGCTCCATCGAACGATTCAAAGCTCGATGGGTCGTACGAGGCTTCGATCAACGGTACGGAACCGACTACACAGAAACCTTTGCCCCAGTCTCCCGTCACACCTCCCTGCGCATCCTACTCGCCGTCGCGGCCATCAAGAAACTACCACTGCGCCAAATCGACGTCGCAAATGCTTTCCTGTACGCACCTGTGGACGCCGAGATCTTCGTCGAGCAGCCCCACGGATTCATCGACGACCCTACAAAAGTATGCCAGCTGATAAAATCCCTTTACGGGATCAAGCAAGCCCCGCGGCTCTGGCAGCAGCATCTTCACGGTCGCCTCGTAAAAATCGGATTCCTACAGCTGCCGCATGACCAAGGCATGTACCGACTGCAGAAGTGAAGAGAGTATATCCTACTCATCGTTTACGTCGACGACCTGCTCTACATCGGTTCCACCACCGACATCGCCACCTGGTTCGAAGGGGAGCTAGAAAGGGACTTGACACTCACAGTGTCCGACTCAGTGACCCAGTACCTGGGACTGAATGTCATCGAAGACAACTCGGCGTTCTACCTACACGCTGGAAAATACGCAGGCACTGTCGCGAAGAAATTCGGTCTAATGCCGACTACGGTCCCGACTCCCTACCGCTACGGGAACAACAGCAACACCTCCGCAAAACTCCCCGCGAAGCAAATCCAGGAGTATCAGCAGAAGCTCGGCTGCCTACTATTCGCAGCAGTAACCTGCCGACCCGATCTATCTTACAGCGCGAGCCAACTGGCGACGCATCTGAAGCAGCCGGAACAAGAAGATCTCGAGGAACT